GTGTGTGTGTGTGTGTGTGTGTGTGTGTGTGTGTGTGTGTGTGCGTGTGTGTGTGTGCGTGTGTGCGTGTGCGTGTGCGTGTGTGTGTGTGTGTGTGTGTGTGTGTGTGTGTGTGTGTTGCCGGTAGGATCTCGCCATCTGACGGTGACTCTGTGGTAAGTGACCGTTCCAGCGAGCGGGAATCAACTGAGGAGAACCTGAGAGCCCACGCCACGCCCAACGACAGCAAGCACAACCGTAAGGTTCCCATCAATGTTTTAAATGGCAAGTAGCCTTGGCAACACTCACATCACTCCTCCAAACACAAGGGGGGGGGGGGGGGATTGGGCGGACACAAAGAGACCAACTCCAGCAGGCATGATTTGATTGACAAGAGGGCCAGATTGAGGGCAGGGGAGACTCTGAAAGGGTTGAAAAAAGAGGAAGACCGAGAAAAAGTGCAGCGTATACCCAAGCAGTGACATAAAGATTACAGAGGGGAGCGGTGAAGGTACAAGAAACACCTATCCGGTGGTCAAAAGACGTCCTGAGAGGGGAATAGGAGGGGAAATAGCTGAAGTTACTCTATCTGACAGCCTGTTGATAGATTGGAGCCTGCAATGCCAGTCAGAGACTACGTGCTGGAGCCAGAGGCAGTCAGGCAGACAGACTCCGGCCTGACTCACCCACAGAGGAATGGTCTCTGTTTTGTTATGGATAAATCTCCGCCCGGGACTGTATATGCTCTGCTACAATGTTTAGAAGTCGGTTGTATATGAGACACTCAGTATGATGTCATGTACCGGCTCCTTCCCTTCTTCTCTCTGATTAATGAACGTCACAAGAGAAGCTTTTATCAGCTTCACAGACGCTGTTCCCTCCCTGTTTCCTTTTTATTTCTAAAAGTTTAAACAGCTCCCATGGTGGCACACCTCAATTCCCCAGGCTGTTTCTAATTTTTATTGTCAATATCCAGCAACCACTTCTATCTTATTTGATCTTTTTCTCCTCAATAAAATTATTTTTCCTTTCTATTGCGGTTTGCAGGCAAGAATAGAATTGGTAAGAGTCTGTCCTCTCTCCGTTTGTGTCTCCATAGACCTCAGGCCTGACCTCCAGCAGCTGTGTCTGTGTGTCGTCTGTGTGTTTCTGTGGTAGCATTGCCCTCCCCATCCATCACTGTCTGCCGAGCTGTCAGTCACAGTGTAGAGAAAGTCAACTTCACAAACAAAGGAAAGCCATTGTCTGAAATGAGGTTTAGCTTTTGGAAAGAGAAATCAGTGTTCATTTTTATGTCGCCACCGGAAACATTTGCTCCACACTTTTGTTACAAGAGATGTTTCAAATATAGTCAATTAAATAAAAGGGTGAATGTTTTCGTGCAGATCTTAACGCAGTAGTCATCTGAGCACATTAGCATTTAGACTTGTAATGACTGAGCTGACTGAGTTATGACCTCTTGCTTCCTTCCTCAGGTCCTCCTCCTATGAATGGTACGAATGAGCAGCTGTCCTCGGCCTCCATCTTTGAACATGTCGATCGGATGTCTCGTGCCACAGATGCAAGCAGGAGACTCCCGAACAAAATCCAGCTTATCGCCATGCAGCCCATGCCTGTCCCACCACTGCACAGCCCCCCCATCAATGGAAAACTGTCTGACACCAACCTAATCAACAAAGAGGTTCGCTCCTGTTAAATATTCTTCTTTTAATACAAAGGCAAATTACAATGTTTCAAGCCCAAATTGGCTACGGAGGAATCAAAGACTTGAATTACTTTCATCACTTAATACAGAAGACCTTATAGGAGCAGATGACAGCATCGCAAGTCCTTTAAAATAGACATTATATTATTCCTGATCTGATGCTGCTGTAGTTCTTGTGATTTGTCCCTAAAGGTGTGTACTGTATGTGCATGAAATAATGTCATCCTGCTTGTTGAAGTCTAAACTCATCTGCAGTTGGTCTAATCTGTGCATATTTTAAAGATGGTGTCTAATGAGGTAATTGTTTCAGATCCAGGTAGCATTGAGGCACAAGTCAGAGATCGAGCACCATCGTAACAAGATACGCCTGCGTGCCAAGAGGAAGGGCCACTACGACTTCCCTACTATGGACGACATGACGAGTGGCCTCGGAGATGCGAAGGACCAGGATCGCATCTATCAGAAAGCACAGATACAGATCGATAAGATCCTGGACCCGGATGCCCAGATGCCCCCCATCTTCATGGAATCCAAGAAATGGTTTGGGTCATTGCACTTGTTTGGTTTTGTGGTGGACAGGCTGATACAGTATGTGTATATGGGTTTGTAGGGCTGACTACATTCGACATCTAGCCTGGCTTTAAAGGGACAGTTCACCCCAACATCAAAAATACATATTTGTCCTCTGACGTTTATTCTTCAATCTAGATTGTTTTGGTGTGAGTTGCCTAGCTTTGGAGATATTGGCTGTAGAGATGTCTTTCTTCCGAACTACACCCGCCAACGATATCACTGTGCAGAAGGATTGTTGCTCTCCGAGCACCACTGACCTAGCTAGCGTTACAGCTCAGCTGAAGAAGTCGCTTTTATGTTTACATCTCCGGCTGTCATGAGCACGAGCCCCTCGTCCATGAGTAGGTGCACACTTCTTACTGCACGATGATATGGTTGGCGGGTGTAGTTCAGTTAAAAGAAAATAGTTCCGACATGGAACTGCTCACAACAAGGTCTGTGGATTATTTTACATGATATCTGGAGAGAGCCATTGCTGTTGAGGTTGTTTTTTTTGCGCTTTGAGAACCACAAACCAAGTACCATACTGTCCCATACCACGTCTCTACGGCCAATATCTCCCAAACTCACACCGAAACAATCTAGATTGATACATAGCACTACAGCTGAGAGGAACAACATTTGTTTTTGATTTTGGGGTGAACTGTCCCTTTAAGTAAATAAAAAGTACTGATGAATAAATGAATGAACATTTCTTTGCTTGTTTCTCAGTAGTCGTGGTCGGCGCTCTCCCAAACAGAGAATGAAGGAGCAGCTGAATGGAGGCCTCATGGAGGCAGACAAAGACCACCTCATCACTGAAGACAGTGACGCTGTTTACAGAAAGTGTCCTGGAGTCAACAATGTGGCCTACGTGGTGAGTAGTACAGGAGAATTATGACGTTTGTACACACAGGTATGTCCTCTAACTGTCTGTAAACGTGTCGTGTTTATTCCAGTCGGACCCTGACCAAGGCCCAGGATCCCCTCACAGGAGCCCCTCCCCCAACGACGACGTCTTCCTGGGTCCCGCTTCCTCTCCTCCAGGCCATGCCCCTCCCCCACCCCCCTACATGCCTCCACAGCCTTCCATTGAGGAGGCGCGGCAGCAGATGCACTCCCTGCTGGACGACGCCTTTGCCCTGGTGTCGCCCACCTCTCAGGGCAGCTCAGCAGGGATCACTCTCCCCGGGGTCAACTCCAACCCGCCTGTCTCCAGCCCTCCAGGCCGTGGCCCCAGACCTTGGGGTCCCTCTTACCAATCTCTCGGTCCTTTCCCTAGTGTAAGTAGCCATCCCTGGCTCTTAAATCGACAGGATACTTTTAAAAGAGTCAACATGAAATCATGCTGCTTTCACGTTGTGTGTTCTCCTTTGCGTCTATGCTTTTGCCAGTATAAGTTCCTACAAAATGTATTCTGTCACTAATCTGGGCACGGACGTAAAGCGAGATCGGCTCCCTGTTACAGCAAAACAGTGAAGAGACACATGTAAAATCCTACATATTCACTATCTCCTCCCTTTCTCAAGCGTTTTCCAGCTCATTCGCAGCATGAGGCCTATAGCTCCATGTTTAATCGTGTCCTCTTAGCAAACTAATCAGTTAAGTATTCCTCCATCTGTCGCCCCCACGAAGCTGCGGCCTTACAACCCCCGTCAGCTATCTACAACTCCTCAGCCTCTACAGGAATGTACCCTGCATACGCTTGATCTGCATTAGCGCCTGTTAGTGTAGTGTAAGCTTAGTGTTTGTACTCATGGCACACACACACATGTGCTTCAAAATGTAACCCTTACCTCACAACCTTTTGTCTCTGAAATCGAGCTCTCACAACTCTGCCCCCCCCCTCCCCATTTTGCTGTGTACTATATTTCTGCTGTTTATGGAAGAGAGGTCTTTGCAAATCACCACCATACAAAGACCCTTTTATGCAATGTCGCAGCTTGTTAACGCATTAAACCTGGAGTCCATAATACTGTGCATGTACCCACGAGCATTATATGCAGAGAGAAAGTTATGAGTTGTTTAGAGATGGAGCATTACAGGAAGCTGTAAAGATTATTGTCCATTGGATTAGCAATGAGGCAGCATTATGGCTTCAAAGTAAAAACTTCATCAGTATTTTACAGACTTTAAAAATAGAAGCATCATGTTTCCCGGTTATGATATGATGTTTTGTGGTAGTAACACTTAACACATTCCTGTCTTGCCTGTAGCCTAATTATCACGATGGTAACTGAACTTCTCCCTTGCGTTCTTAAAATGTTTACTTTAATGCATCTCACAGCTATCATCACCCATTAATCACGGCTCTTTCTCCCAGAGTCCAGCCCCAGCGTTCACCCAGGTGACCTGACACAGAGAGAAAGTCAACAGTGAGCAGCGGAGCCACAGAAAGCTATTTGCTGGTTCTGCTTTTTGCAGGTTCAGTGCTTTAATATGCTGCGAAAGATCAGCTGTAAAAAAAGAAGGCTATCCAACAAAACCATGCTTGGTCAAAGCAACACAGTGTATGAAGTGAGCCCCACTACCCACATATACTGCACATAGCAATAGACACAGCACTGCTTTGCGTTCATAAGAAATATCGACATCCTCTGTGAGTCGTCTTTGCATTACTTGCAGTATTTGTATCATCTGTGTCTTGATACAGTAAGCAAGCTGTGACTGATATTTCATTAGTTGATTGTACCTGATTGTCTTTGTCATGACCATTGTTGCTCACTTCCTCCTAAGTGCTATGTGTCTTTGCTGGTCTTCCTCAGAGGTTCACTGAGCTGAGCTTGTCCCCTCCTCCTGTCCAAGGCCTGACTCCCAGGTTAGTAGAGTGGTCGATGGAAATTCACTATTCGTGTGTATGAATGAATAAGTAATATGCCTCTTTGATGTTCACCTCTTCCACCACTTTACCAGCGGGAATGTTTCCCTTTAGGTGGACCTCATGAATAGCGAAGGAGGAGTTATATTTATTTGATTGCATTAATGGATCAGGTCCAAACAGTCTGAACTGGCTCCCCAAAGACCAACGTATCCTCAGCAGCTGTCAGCCACACGAGGTTGTTAGTTGTGTAACAGTTAAAGAGTACGTGAACAGCATGAGGCCAATTTTAGGTTATGTTTTGTGCCACATACAGAAGAAGACGCTGTCGAAACTATTGATATGATGATGTAGAGACTTCAACTGAGAAGAATTCCAATAAATGTGTCACAATACATGTTTCATTAAATGGAAGTGAATGTTGTTGTGTTGCAGACAGGGCCTTGGCTCGAGCTACCTGCCACCAGGAGAAGCTGCAGGGCAGTGTGAGCAGCTGCAGCCGGACAGCCTGTACTCCAGCAGGGGCCTCTACGCCGATGAGCTGCCCTCCTCTGCCCGACCGCGACCAGTAGGGGGAACGACAGGTACGAGTGGGAAACACAGGCAGACACAAACAGCCCGAAAGTTTCATGACTCCTGATACTGTTTGGAGTCAGATGTAAACAAAGCCCACGGCGTGCATACGTCTTGATCTCATTTCCACTTCTTACATCTTCATTTCAGTACCAAATATGTTTCCATATGGAAAGACAACATTTGTCAACACTTGAAGGTTGATAAGCATATTTTTGTTTGTCTGTAGACATAGTTTATTTAGGATGACTTCTGGCTGTAGGCCACAGCGCTGCTCCCTGATGCAGACAAACACCTCCACCCCATAAACCTGTCAGACTGAAAGAGCCTTGTCTCTCTCTTAAATTATTAAAGCAGCTAGCGTGATGCGGCTGCCATCATGTAACTTACACTAATAGAAATGGATTCTGGCATTTACTACAACAGAGTGCAGCACAGCAGAGACAGAGTGCTTCTCACACTGCGGTGATTGCATCAAAGTATATTAAAGGGGCTGCTGAGGATTGAGTGTCAGTTACTGTAGCTCTGGTATGTGTGTGTGTGTGTGTGTGTGTGTGTGTGTGTGTGTGTGTGTGTGTGTGTGTGTGTGTGTGTGTGTGTGTGTAGGCGCCCAGCTCCAGCATCTTACACAGGTGGGATTGTCCAGCCGGATGAATGGTTACCCAGCAGGGGTCAGGGCGGCTCCAGGGCAGAACGGAGGCATTGGATGGAACCACTACTACGGGGAACATTTCTCCAGGACGGAGCCGGAAAAAGACGCAGTGAGTGAATCGCAGATGTAATTCTTTCAAATATTGTCCGTGCATCTGAAGCCTAATATACAGGAGCTTTTTTCTCTGTGCCACATGTTTGTTCACCAAATGTATATCAATCCATGGCTGAAAATAGTCCCCTACAAAGGCACTATTTCATCCGGTTTGAGTAATGTTTGCTATAAACAACAGTGCCCATCAGTTTTAGGAAGTTGCCAAGCTTTTTATAAAAATTAAACTATGTGTTTGTGACCTCGATCTTCTTATTAATTCTCTCCATTTATTTTGTGGACAGTGGGTAAATTTTTCACTCTTTGTTTCATTGCAGCCATTTGCAGGGTCTGAATACTTATGACCATGTGATATTTCAGTTTCTCTTTTTTAATAAATTTGCAAAAATTTCTACATTTCTGTTTTTTTCTGTCAAGATGGGGTGCTGAGTGTACATTAATGAGAAATAAAATGAACTTTTTTGATTTTAGCAAATAGCTGCAATGAAACAAAGAGTGAAAAATTTAAAGGGGTCTGAATACTTTCCGTACCCACTGTATGTATACGGTTATGCTTATATTTCATATATCGCCCCTTCTCTCACAATCTCTTGTTCTGTCACTTGAAATGTTTCCTCTTTTTTCTTCTCAATTGTTTTCCTCCACTTCCTCCCTATCCTTCCTCTCCGCCTTCAGTTCCTGGACTGTCCTGACTACACGTCCTCCTCTGTCTTCCAGACGCCCAGAGGTGGCATCAGGGAGCCTTCCGCGCCCCCCGTCCACCTCGACAGCCCGGGGGTGGGATATCTGTCAGCCCCGCCTCCCCTGGAAACATCTCCTCCCGCCCACTCCTCTGCCTCCCTGATCAAGGCCATCAGGGAGGAGCTGCTGCGACTCTCCCAGAAGCAGGCGGCTGTGCCCAGCTACCACAGCTGAAGGCCCGGCCTCCAGTCTGCAGCTCTTACCAGTCATGCCACTGACCCCCCCCCCCCCCCCCCCTCTGCCCGCCTGCTTCGCCTAATCTGAAAACTACTTCCCGTGGAAGTCCCCGAGGGTGTACAGCAGAGAGATAGTCCTGCTGGGCTGAAGTGAAGAGGTGGTTAATAGAGATCTCTAGCTCCGAGACTATTCAGAGCACAGAATCCGATCAACTGCAGGAAGTCAAATCAGAGACGGTGTTATGAAATGAAGAAGAATATGGACAGTATATGCTGGACCCATGAGGTGACGTGACACGTGTCGGTCCTGTTCCCCGCTGTGGAGCAGGGGATGATCATGCCACGTCCAGGACCTATTTGAGATTTTGCTGCATTTATTCAGACTCGGTATTCTGTGTCACCGTTTCACTCTCATGCTGCCTTCACTAAACGGTAATCCCCCCCTAAATCTCATTTTTTTACATTACTTAAACTACCATACAGGTACTCTGTTGTGTTCCGATGCACAGCCCTTAACCTTCTTCATCACCATCAGGTGCTACTTCATGTTTCCTGCCATGATGAGCCGTGCTATGCCTTGTCACTGTGATGTCGTTCACCCGATCCATTGTACAAGCCTACAGTGAGGTTCAGACAGTAGGCACAGAGGGGAGCCACAGAGACTAGTAACACTCATCAACACTACCCGGTCATTAGTTAGTCTGATGTTGATATTCTGTGATCTCTTGACTTACAGTACTTGCTGTTTTTTTTGTGGACAACTTGCATTCATGTCCCGTGTTTTTATTCATGTTTACTAGCTAACAGACGGCGAGACAAACATGAGAACAATGGCCTTGAAATCACGTTCATTTTCAAACGGGACTTGTGAGGCAGGTGTTTGAGATGCAGCCACAGATGCGTTGCAAATAATAAGCGAAGATGTTCGGTATGTGCTTGACAATAAGGGTGTATTGTACTCGGCTGTAGTTTGATGCACTGTATGCAGACTACTTGGTACAGCTCAGGTCGTTCAAAAGAGATTCGTTGCGGACAAATCAGTGATCATTTGTTTATGTGGAAGAACTGTTAATGAGGGGAAAGTCACAAAGACCAGTATTCTGTTTTTATAACATGAACCTGTATTTACTCTGTACTGAACCACCATCTCTGTGTAATGCAATATTCAGCATTTTCTTTGCCTTTTCGTTTGCACAGGAAGGAAAACAAAGTGTACTGTATTCATTCATGGTTCAACCAGTCATGTTTGCCTTTCTTTTCTTTTTTTTATGTTTTTGGATTTACCTCGTGTCATTTTGTTCCTCTTACATTTATCTTAGTCATCGTACTGGTTTTATTACATGCCCCTCCCCCGACATGTTGTGATGTTTTGGGGCCTGAAGTGATATTTTATTTAAATGAAATAAAAGTGACAATGATGGATTGTAAAGCAGGGCTTGAGAATATGTTTTGGGATGTTTCTCTGTGTTTAACCGTCATACTGTCGAAGGTTATGATGCAGCCTAAATTACAACTTCATGAACCTTCATTCAGGAAACAAACAAAACAACAGATATTGTCATTGTACGGAGTCTCCTTTGATATGCAGCGAGATGGTTTAGTGTCTGCTTTTCCGTCTCACCTCATGTGATCATGTTTTTTGTTACCGATCTCACACTGTATGCCTCCATCTGCTGGTTCTGTACTGTAACAACAGCCCATCCGCCTGTGTTCATCTTTCATTCCTTTTTATGATACTATTTTTGTTTTTTTTCATCTATTTCTACGTCTTGTATTTTGTAAAACTGACCTGTTGGCTGGCCCAACCTCATGTTTGATTGATGTTTGCATGTTTAATTATTGTATTTCTTTTGTTCCTTTTTTGAGCATGCTGTTCCAAAATTTCTTGAAATACAAAAAGAAACTTTCACTCGATGTGTCCTCAAGTTTTAAGTTCATCACCACAAGTGGATTTGATGTGTTGGCACAGTTGTCTTTTGAGTTCTCACACATGATCATTACATGAGTAGACTTGAGAGGGGAGCCGGTGTATTCTCATTATCTTCCACCCTGACGGTCAGATACATTTAGCTGAAACACACCATGCACGCATCATCATATCTCACGTCATTTATTTCATATCAAAGCACTCTCGCAGCTGTTGTACTTCCCTCAAACATCCAGAGGGTGTCAGTACGTTACAAGAAAAACTAAATCCGTTTCACAACAAAGACTGCTCCCCTGGCTGCCGATGATGTAACCAATTCCTGAAGATGTTTCTGTGAGTCTGAAAAGAGCTTCTTATATCTACTCTTCATTATTATTGGAGGAATTGTGAACATGTCAGGTGTGGAAGTGGCATTTGTGGAGGATTAATGATTGATGATTCTGATATCCAATATAATATACTTTGGTCTTTATATTACAGTACAAGCAGTAGCTGGCAATAATCTATTTATATCGATGGATATAAATGGAGAGCAGCATGGGTACAGTGCAGTGTCTTCCCTCCTGTTGTGGGTTTATACTGTGCCTCCACAGGAGTGCTTCCTGGGCATATATTGAGTTGTGTCTCATCTCATCAGATGCTTCTCCCCTCTAATCCTATCGCAGGATCCAAAGCCCCCGAGTGAAGGGGCTAAACGGTCCGCAAAGCTCCCGAACTCCCTCTGCAGGGGTTGGACCGCACACAACTCAGCAAGTATTGGACAGGGCACACACTCGAACAGTCGCTGCATTGATCTTATATATATATATATATATATATATATATATATATATGACAGTCCTAAGCTATTTACCTCTGGTCTCTACCATGACTCTGTGAGACTCCAGCTTTTGTGTCCATGCACACGGGACAGCACTGCAGCTAGAGATGCAATTCAACGTATGCTTTCACATGTTAAAAAGCCTGTAGCATATCAGTGTATATTCAAAGTGATCCTCTTTAATGTCAGTATTTATTATCCACGCATATAAATTCTACTACTGTACTTTTTATGTATGTGTTATTGCTATATTCATGCTGCTAGCTCAGTGTCTTTTTCTGCTCTGTCTCTGTCTTGTCTCCCGCAAGGCTTAAGAGTGTCCCGTCCCGTCCTGTCTGGCTGCCTCTGGCCCTCCTTGTGGGGTCTAATACCCCCTCCTACACACACATACACACACACACACACACAGAGTAATCCTGTGTGTTGTCCCGTCCCAGCTCTGCTAGCTGAGTCCAGCCCGACCCAGCGTAGCACAACAAGAGCACACCCAGGAGTTAATCTGGATCATGACGGTAATTACTGACCGGGTGTCCGGCCTGTAGGAGGGTGCAGGGGAGGGAGCACTTGTCCACTAAGGGAGGAGTCTTCCCACTGACCTTGGAGAAAACTATGAGGGAGGAAAGGAGGAGAGAAACGGAGAGAGGAAGGCAGAGCAGACCCAGGCATTAGCATACTGACAGAGTTCCAGCACTGCAGATCTCTCTCTCTCTCTCTCTCTGGTTTTTTAACTCTGCCGGTGAAAGACAGGAAGACAAGGAGAGCAGGGAGAAGGAAACAAATCCTTTGACACATGAGAAAAGAGGATATCTGCCCTTTTTCACTGATCCCAGCACAGATTCAGAAGCACTTGTGAGTAGACTGCTATCAGCTTGCCATTCACTGTCTGTGTTACATCTCAGGAATTTCCTTATGCAATAGAAAGAGTTTCTCAACCGGAGCCGACGGGGATGTTTTTCCCACATTGTCTGTGATTGTAACCAAAGTGTATGTTTGTTTTCTTCAGTAGGGTGACTGAGCTCGATGCAGTCTAGTTGCAGACATTTGTTTTGCTGTATGTACAGTATCTGTGTGTGTGTGTGTGTGTGTGTGTGTGTGTGTGTGTACACATGGCCACCATAGCACATGTTCCTCCAGCTGCCTGTCAGAAACAGACATTCCTGCGGTTTGATGAGGATGAATGAGGAAGTATTTCAGCGACATGCGGCGGTGGCGTCCTTTACGGCCATAAACCTCGTTGCAGTGGGAGGATGTGGTCACAGCCCTCCTTGTTTACCAGTGTGGCTTTTTTAAAATTATTATTATGCAACCCTCTGCATGCTGCGTCGTTACACAGCCTCGGAGCTGCTTGCTTATGAATCAATGGCATCAGGAGGGGTTGGCTAACAGAGACACTGCAGCAGCAGCCAGGCATCTTCTGCAGCATCCAGCTATGTGCCAACTGGCACCGCTGTCACCGAGCGATGTCAGTGTTCTCACTTTCAGCGTGTGTGTGTGTGTGTGTGTGTGAGAATCTTAACAGCGGTCGCAGTTTACCCAAACTCAACACATCCATCAACCAATATCTGATCAATCTTTTTTTCCTCTTTTTATGACCACAAGTCCAGTGGTGATGATGTCACTGCAGCTCCTCTTACTGTCTAAATGCAGACCCCCGACTCTCTCCCATCATCATCATTTTGTCATTTCTCTGTCTGACGTTGGCCATCAGGAAACACAGCAAAATGGGGGGGGGGGGGGGGTTGTGAGGGCTCTATTTCAGAGACAAAAGGTTGTGAGGTAAGGGTTACATTTTGACGCACATGTGTGTGTGTGCCATGAGCAAGCACGTCTGACGTAACACAGAGGAGGAGTGGACCTCCTGCGTCGTCTGTTTTCATAACAGATGACCAAGCAGCTGCTGGAGGCGGGAGGGAAGGATAAGGGTGTTTGTGTTTGTGTTTGTTTTGCCCAGTGGCTAGTGCTGCCCTGCTTGCTGCTGCATGACAACACAACCGTATTTTCTCTGAGGTTAGAACCAGAAGCAGCAGCTCGTGTTGCACCATCACACTGCGGTGTGTCAGGGTCACTATGTGGGACGATCACTGTCCTCAAGGTCGCGATGCAGGTTATCTCCTGTCTCCCTGCGCACCAGGCTCCACCGCATCGGAGCACACAGTGTGATATTGTGCCGCACTGTGCTGAGTAGGAGGCAGCGCGCTCATGTGATGTCCAAGGGGGGCGGTGAATAGCTGCCATTCATAAGAGAGTGGACGTTTGCTCGGCAGCTGCTCTCCGCTCTGACTTCAGACACTGATCCCGCCCGTCAGCTGC